CTATATAATGACTTCGTATATTCCTTCCATCTTCTTTTAATACTTCCTGGATCATTTAATATTCTGCCCAAAGCATCCTTGATTACAGCAAATGTACAAGGTAAGAAGTTATGTCAATTACAAAGATAAAATTTAAAACTTCTTTTAAAAATAGTAATCCAAATAACTCTCGAGCAACCCTATAGGGCAAATAAAACTGCCCGAGGGCAGGGGTGGGGATGTTTCAAGTCTCCTCACCTCATGGAAGCAGACCAGCACAGCTCCCTCCCTTGGAGTGGCTGTGGGATTTGAACCCCTGACTTTCTGGTTGCTATAGTGGCATGGTCTGTAGGGAGCTGTGTTGCTTATCCAAAGCTTCTCTGTCTCTAGCTGTTCCAATCTACCCTCAGCTCCAAGGGAGAAGGATGGGCAGTCTTCTCCCATGCACTCTCCAGTCTCAGAAGCCCATTTGGGTGGAGGTGGATGATGGTCAGCTGGGAGTCAATGCCAAGTTGGCGGCAATACTCGACTGGACTTTCTGATTAGCAGCTCAGTGCTTTAACCTGAGTGTAGCATTTTATCACTATTTATGTTCCAGAGCTGACTTGGGTCTCCTGCATCTGTGGATGGAAAGACTATGTAATGGTGCTGCTGAACGTTTCTGCCCAAGTGTTCCTTGAACAAGGCAGCTTAAAAGCAGTTGGAGTATTTATACCACAGAGGAGGGCCAATGTTACAAATCAGCAATTCCCCCGCCCCCTTCCCCTGAGGGAGCACTGGTGGCTTAGTGATAAGGAGTTGCACTACCACTCCAAAGGCACAAGGTTCGAATTCACCAGCAGAAAGATGGGCAATCCCCTCCTCTGAGATTTACTGCCTCTGCAAACCCGCTGGAGGAACAGCTGACTTGGTTCTGGTTCAGTGGTCACATAACAACAACTCCCTCTCCCAGAAATGTAATTGTTAAACATTCATAAGCCCAAGTCTGAGAGCACGGGGCCAGACCACAGAAGGAGCACAGTCTGTGGTGCTGGCCTGTCCACATTTGAGTCTGGGCTTTGCCTCTAGCTGCAGTTCTGGGCCATTAGTCCTTAAGCCTTACCTTCCCCGCGGGGCTGCAAAACAAGGCAGCTTTAGAAAACTGAGCATTTGCTATATCTGCAGCAGATCCCCAGAGGCACAGCATGGTATGTGTTAGGCTGCTACCAGAAAGGTCAGCGGTTCCAATCCACTACCTGCTTCAAGGAAGACAGCTGGGCAGTCCCTTCCTCTAAGATTTTGCAGCCTTGGGCACCCCAAGGAGGGTGGCCATGAGTCGGAGTTGACTCAACGGGGTGTGTGGGGGGAATGAATTCAGTTTGGTATTTTTTTTTTCTTTCTACATTTTATTATTTCAAACCAGGTGAACAATTCCATAAAACGTGAAAAAAGCAAGGAAGTGTTCAATGCTGAAGGGCCCGGGCCTAGGGTGAGGGCAGAAGGGGCCTGGCCCCTCAGCAGGCAGCGGCGGTTCCTAGGTTAGCGCTAAGGAGCTACATTTAGGTTAATGGAGCCAGGGCCCAGGGCCGCTGGGTGGGGCCCTCAGTGATGTTGGCAGTTGTCTGGAACAGCCCTTGGAACCCAATTCTGTGGAGGGCAGGGCAGGGGTGCTGTCCTTACAGCGGGACAGCCAGCAGAAGGATGGGTGTAAACACGCAGACACACTCAAGGCACGGAATCACTGGAGGGTTGGGGAGTGGGTGGGGGTGCTGGTCAGGACCTGACAGTTTTAAATAGTTTTTCTCTAAAAAGTTTTTTTTCCCTTTCCTTTCTTTTTTTAAAAAGCTACGAGAATGAGCAGGTGGACTGTGGTCTCCAGGAATGGTGGCGTCTCACAATTCTTGTGCTTTTTCCTTGGGGCCTCCAAGCAGTTGGGGTTGGGAGGGAGGGGTAGGAGGCTCCCTGTAAACATCTGGACTTGGGCTGGGATGGGGGGCTGGTGTTGGGCAAAGCCAGGGGTCCCAGACTGGAGAAGTGGGTGCCCTTCCAGCCACAGGCCTTGGGAGACTCAAGCGTGTGCTCCAACTCCACTGCCCCCCATACAGTTTGGTATTAATGCGTGCTCTCATTACATCGCCCAGAGGCCCGGGGAGGCAGTAGTCACGTGGCTCTGTTAAGCCGAGGAAGTGGGGGCGTTAAGAGGATAGAAACCTCATCAAAGGTGGCAGATTAAGGCTGAGCCAGGCTCCTGACAGCTGCGGTTTGGTTTATTAGCCCTATAGTGATGGCACCCAGCCCGCTGGGTGGTTTTGAGGACTCTTGGCGGTACTGTGTGGCAGGGCTTAGCAGGGGCACGCCTGCTCTCCAGCTCAGTGTAAACAGTCGTTTGCTGGGAGGCGCGAAGCCGGATCTGCACGCACTCACTTTCGCGGGCTCTCTGGCCAGTCTGTGCTTGTCAGAGCCTCGTTTCCCCCTGTGGACACAGGGATAAAAATCACTACCCAGAAGAGCCGCTCAGAGAGCCGGAGATAAAGAATGTTAAGTGTCTGCTGAGAAGTGGACTGAACAACAGGAGTGATGGCTAGGGATTATCTTTTATTCCTTGTCACTCAGACAGCACTTTTTGGCTGCTCTGTAGAGGGAGACTGGGGACAGGGCTGGAGCCCTAAAGGTAGACTCCTGCGTGGCCAGCTCCGTCCCCAGCCCCTGCTAGCCAGGTCAGCCTCTGGATTGGCTCTGAAAGGGCTTCAGAGGTGTGAGGACGCTGTTGCTAGGTAGTGGTTGCTAGGCAACGCTCTGTTTCTCCTGGCTGGGCCACTTCCAGGAGGGCCTGGCTTTTCTATAAACTCTGGCTTTCTGAAGTCTCTCCCCTGGCATCAGAGCTCCCTCGGAGGGTAGGTGAGGGTGGGGTGCACTGCCTCTGGGCCCCAGGAGAGCAGGGAACCAACTTCCTGGGGGAGACAGTGGACCAGGCGGGGGGCATGGGCTTGGGGTGGGGCTGAGGGTACAAGTCTGAACTGAGGCAGATAAGAATCCCCCCCAGGAGGCGTCCCCACACTTCTGAAGCCCTTTTCAGGGCCAATCCAGGGTCTAGCCCTTCCCAGAGAGGAGGGTGTGTGTGTACAAGTTAAGATTGAAGGCTGAGAGGTCAGGTACCCTGGGTTAGAACTGGTTCTACCAGCTCCCTCAACTAAATCTCTGTCACATGGGAAGTTGTCCCTGGCCCCAGGTGAATCCTTCTGACCTATGACCGCCCCGTGTGCTACAAAGAGGGACATTTTTCAAGACTGTGGTCAAGCCTTGAAGGTACCTCTGGGTGGCTTCGAACTGCTCAACTTTTGGTTACTAGCTGAGCTCTTTTTTTTATTTTTAAATTTTATTTTATTATTTGTGTGTGTGTGTGTGTACCGTCAAATCAGATCTGACTGGTACAGGAGGAGATTGCCCCTCCTTCCCCGGCAGAGCATCTGGTGGATTCGAACCGTGCGCCTCTGGGATTGTAGTTGCAGCTCCTTGCCATTAGGCCACCAGAGCTCCCCACTAGCTGAGCTCTTAACCCTCTGTACCCTACCGGAGATTCCTTACAAAATGGGACAGTGGCTGTCATGAGGTCCACTGTGACTCCCAGCAGCCCTGTAGGATGAGGTGGAACTGACCCATAGGTGTATGAGGCTGGAAACCTTTACAGAAGCCACCACCTCATCTGTCTCCCTTGGGGCAGTTGGCGAGGTCAAACTGCTGAACTTTTGGATAGCAGTCCAATGCTTAATCCACTATGCTACCAGGGCTACTCCAAATGTGTGCCACTGAGTCAGAATCGACCCATAGCTGACCCCCCAGCAGGTTTTCAGAGGTTGTAAATCGCACAGGAAGAGACTGCCCATCTTTCTTCTGTGGAGCAGCTGGTGGATTCGAACTGTGTGCCTTTCACTTGGTATTGCAACTCCATACCACTAGGCCACCAGAGTTCCCTTCACAATAAGAAGAGTTACTAGAGTGTATCTCCAAAGCCCGTGTGACCTTGGAGTCCATCCTGAGTCAACTCGACCCTGGAGGTTAGATTAAAACTGCCCCATAGGATTTACAAGGCTGTAAATCCTAATGGGACGAGTCTGGCACATCTTTCTCCCTTCGTGTGATTGGTGGGTTCGAACCACTGACGTTTTGGTTAGAAGTCAAATGCATTAACCACGGTGCCAGCAGGACTCCTACATAAAAAGATGTGCTGTTGTTGAGCACCAGAGAGTTGGAACCAACCCGAAGCTGGCCCTCCAGCAGGTTTTCAAAGGCCCCAGATTGCATGGGAGGGGATTGTCCACCCTGCCCCCGAGGAATGGATGGATATCTTTGGGTTGGCGGCACAGTTCTTACCATGAAGCCCCCGGAGAGCCCTTAGGAAGGTGTAGGGAGGATGAAATGGGACACAAGCGGACGTGAGACAAGGTTGATGGGGGGCTGTTTGTTCCCCCACTTGTAGAGGTGTGGAGGAACAGAGCTCTGGGGGAGGGCACAGCTATACTGAGGGTCAGGAAAGACTCTGGTCTCCCTGTGAGTTGGGGTAAGCATGCTTCCTGTTATTGGCCTGTATTTTCCTCCCAGGAGCACCCCGAGCCTACCCTGCAGCATCATGATGGGGAAGCTCCCCCTGGGGGTTGTTTCCCCTTATGTGAAGATGAGTTCAGGAGGCTCCTCCGACCCCCTGAAGTTCTACGCCACCAGCTACTGCACAGCCTATGGTGAGGGCACTGGGGCAGGGGCCACCTCCTCTGGGACCCTCCCTCCCAGAGCCACCCCAGCACGTTGGATCCATCCATCCCTGAGCACCCCCTGACCCCCAGGACTTGGCTACATCTGTCCCATCAGGCTGGTCCCACCACCCCACTCCTCAGGGATCTAAGCTTGGCCACCTCACTGACTCAATCCCTGTGACTGCTGTCACAATCCCTGGAGAGTCAGCTCCTCTGACCTTGGTCCGTGCCCTCCCCTGCTCTGTGGGGTTTTGGTCCTCCCTCGGGGCCCCATCCTCTCTAGCTTTGCTGACCTGAGCCCCCATTTCTTCTCTGACAGGACGGGATGATTTCAAGCCCCGAATTGGCAGTCACATAGGCACGGGCTACATGTCTAATTACCGGCCCCATGTCTCCTACCAAGCCTATCTCGATGCCCTGGACAAGCGAGCCATGGGGTACGGTCTGCCCAACTTCTCAGTGCCTGCTAGCTGGACCTTGGCTCCTAGGCACACCCGAGCTCCTCAGAACAAGCCTGGGATCCATGAATGGGCCTGATGATCAGAGCCACAGAGATCTGCCTGGCCTGGATCTGGGCTCCGGGTGACTCGGCCATGGTGCCTGACCTTGGTTCAGATGCTGAGGTTTCATTGGTAGCATTGTGGAAGAGAGGGATGCTCTCTAGAAGAGGCAAGATCCTAAGGACAAGGGAGTCGGGGTGGTGGATTTGGTTATATGTTGCACTGTTACCAGAAGGTCAGTGGTTCAGATCCACATGTCTCTGTGGGAGAAAGATAAGCAGTATCTTCCTACAAAATCTACAAGCATGGAAGACGAGGGGTTGCCACAAGTTGGAACTGACTCATCGGCAGTGGATTTGGTTTGGAGTAGGGCTAGAGAGAGGTGGCTCTGGGGCCCCAGCTTCTGCCTGTCCCCCACCCCTTCTACCTACCTAGGGAACAAGCCCGGAACAGTTTCCAGACGGTGACCAATCAGAGCTACCGCCCACTGGAGGTGCCTGACGGCAAGAACCCACTTCCCTGGAACATGCACCAGACCAGCTCAGGCTACGGACACGAGAAGAATTTGGGTCCCTCCACCAAGGAGGTCAGTGCTGGGCCAGGGATGGAGAAGGGGTCCTCTGAGATGGTTTAGGGAGGCACCAGGGGCTATGCACAGCTGGCACTGCACTGCCCACAGCTGGTCAGGGCTGTGCTGGCCAGGAATGGAGGAGCAGCAAAGTGGGGTCCACTCACCTTTCTCACTTTTGTCCTTATTTTCATCTGTATTACCATTGGCCACCCCCTTCCCTCTACTGTTCCCTCCATTTTTATCCCAATCACCATTCCCACCATCTCCATCATTCCTATCATCACTTGACCACTACTCTCCCTTGTCTCCACATCTCTATCCCTACCATTCCTCCACCTCCACCATCTCCATTATCTCTACCATCTCCATCCCCACCATCCCCATCCCCACCATCTCCATCATTCCTACTATCACTTGTAGAACTACCTTCCCTTCTGTTCTACCACCTCCATCCCCACCATCTCCACCATCTCCACTATCTCTACCATCTCCATCCCTGCCATCTCCACCATCATCTATCCTCACCATCTCCATCATCACCATTTCCATCCTCACCATCTCCACCATCTCCATCCTCACCATCTCCACCATCCACCATCTCCAGCTCCATCATCACCATTTCCATCCCCACCATCTCCACTATCTCTACCATTTCCATCCCCACCATCTCCACTATCTCTACCATCTCCATCCCCACCATCTCCACTATCTCTTACCATCTCCATCCCCACCATCTCTATCTCCATCATCTCCATCCTCACCATCTCCACCATCTCCATCCCCACCATCTCCACCATTTCCATCCCCACCATCCTCTCCATCTCCAACATCTCCATCTCCACCATCTCCACCATCTCCACTATGTCCACTATCTCTACCGTCTCCATCCTCACCATCTCCATCCTCTCCATCTCTACCATCTCCATCCCCATCATCTCCATCATTCCTACCATCACTTCTAGCACTACCTTCCCTTCTGTTCTACCACCTCCATCCTCACCATCTCCACCATCTCCATCCTCACCATCTCCATCCCCACCATGACCACCTCCTCCATCATCCCCATCCTTTTCTCAGTCCCTGTCTCTACCATCCCCACCATTCCAGCCACTTGCATCTTAGAGCTACCTCCCCTTCCATTTTTATCCCTCTCACTATCGTCATCCCACCGTTACCTCCTCCTCCATTTCTACACCTGTCATTATCACCACCATCCTCATCTTCTCAATTCCCCTCTCTACTCTCCTCGCCTTCCTCACCATCACCACCAAACCCCTCCCTCCCGACTCTTACCTCCTCCTCCATTTCCATCCTTACCACCTTCCCCATCACCATGGCCCTACCATATCTACCACCCCTATCACTGTGCCTGTTGCCTTCTCATCTCAACCATACTACATTCCCATGCCACCACCTCCACCACCCTGTCCACATCTCCAGGCCCACATCACCACCACCATCACCACTGCCACATTCACTTGGTCATCGCCATTCCTATTGTCTTCATTTCTGTCAGCATAACTGCCCTCACCTTTAATGGTGTCATCAGAATGGATAGTCATTCATTCATTCACTCCCTCAGCCAATACATTATAAACATCCCTTCTATATTTGAAGATGTTAAGTGCTGGGAGACAAATTCAATACAGTAGAGACAAGAGGGCAGCAGAGGGAAGGGTTGCAGTTCCACATAGGGAGAGTCAGGAAAGAGCTTGACAAAGTCTTGAGTGAGGTTAGGAAGTGAGCCGTGCAGGTAGCCCAGGGAAGGTGTTCCTAGCAGTGGAAATAGCAAGTGCAAAGGCCCTGAGGTAGGAATGCATCTGATGTGAGGAGGGACAGCAAGAAGGCAAGTGGCAGGAGCAGGGTGGAGGCGGACATGGGATTCAGCTCTGAATGCCAGGTGATGCCCTGCGGGGCTCTGACTAGAGCAGGGTCTGAGTCTACCTTCACTGCAACGAAGATCCTTCTGGTTGAGGTGGTGAAATGGGTCAAGAAGAGAATTAAGGTTCAGAAATGACTACCATCCCATCACCTGCTTCACAAGTTAATCTCCTGTTCCATCCCACAGGTCAGGAAGGTCCATTTCAACACCCAGGAGCACGGAGCCCAGGCCATCACCGGGCTGGAGCCCAAAGAGATACCCTTGCTCCATCAGCAGCAAGGCAAAGGCTCCTTGGAGAGGGAGAACTCTGGGCATGTGAGTGTGGACTGGGCAGAGGAGGGGTCAGCCTGCCTCCTCCTCCTCCTTCAGCACCTGACGGGTCCTGCCCTGGCTCAGCCCGGGGGCCAGTGCCAGGTGGACTTAGGACACAGTGAGAAACAGATAGCAAAGGGTTTGATATTCCCAGACTGCTACCAAGTGGTCATCACAAGCTTCCTTACACACAGGTTTACTAAAAAAAATACTTTAATTGAGGAATCTAGTTTTTATTTGAAGGTTTATAAGCAATACTGGTTTTTCATACAACTTTTCATAGATATTTTGTTTTAGAACATTAATTCTATTGATTAATGTCATTAATGAGTTACAGTATCTAGTCAGTCCCTTACTGTCTTACACATATTTAAATGCCTCAGCCCCCTAAGCCCCTTCTCTCGCCTCGCCATCCGGAATCCCCGAGCCCAGGGCATTCGGCTGTAACGTGAGCAGCCCGTTGCTTCATCAGCCTCTCTCCTCCTGTTTAGACCCCCTCCTAGTGTGAGGCCCAAAGGCTCAGTTTAGTTTCCGTTTTTGGAGTGTGACAGCATTCATTGTCACAGGGAAGCTGTCCACTGAGGTGCAGTTTCTGGCTCTGTGATGCCGGTGCCACGAAAATCAGAGCTTAGCCACCCAAGAGCTGCCACCGCCACCACCACCACGCCACCCCAGACCCTGGTCTTCAGTGTCTCTCATTCCCCATCTTCTGTGTTCCAGGGTCCTTGCTTCATGACCTCTGAGTACAACTCCAAGTATCTCAAAGAGCTCTCCGGCCAGCCAGGTAGGCCACATATCTGCACACACAGCCCAGCTCTGCCCTTCCTGTCCCTTGTCTCCAAGAGAGGCTTCCAGGGGCACCTGAGGCTGGTATAGGACCAGGAAAGTACCCGTGAAGACAGAAGGATATGAAGGTGCCTGGGAGAATGGTGTACTCAGGCTGACCTCCATGCCTTAGGCCTCCTGAGCTCCAAAGTAAACATCATTGCCTAAGGGAACTGTGCAGGTCTGCCCACAGCCATCTGCGGGCCTGGAGATCCCCGATCTTCCTCTCTTCTTTCCCAGCCAAGATTTAGAATCTACCTCTGAGAATAGTCCTGGTGGCCAGGTCACCAGATCCCTGAAGTACAGGCAAGTGTGGCCAGGTGGCCTGGGGACAGACAACGCAGGGACTGTCTTCTGTAGATCTCTTGCAGAAGAAATCCATTGGCGCCAAGGAGGAGACAGGGTTCACAGAAGAGTCCACCAAGAACCCCATTGTCTTCAAGCCGCCCTCCCAGAACCTCCCTGGGGACACAGTGAGTTGCGCTGGGCTCTACCTAGAATCTCAGGGTCCTGAAGCACCTCCAGTCTAGGGGTACTGGTTTCTTTTCTTTTCTTTTCTTTTCTTTTCTTTTCTTTTCTTGTCTTGTCTTGTATTGTCTTGTCTTGTCTTTTCTTTTCTTTCCTTTCCTTTCCTTTTCTTTTCTTTTTTTTCACCTTGTGTGCCATCAAACTGGATCTGACTGGCACAGGATGAGATTGCCACTCCTTCTGCAGCAGAGCATCTGTTGGACTCTAACCACACACCTTCGGAATTGCAGCTCAGCTTCTTGCCACTAGGTCACCAGAATTCCCTGGGCTTCTGGCTTTTAAAAATGTCTAGCTTGTTTTCTTTTTGTTGAGCATATACTCACTCACTCATTGCTATCCACTTGGAACCAACGGATAGCTGATCTCACGAGAGAAGGTTGTCTATGCTTCTCCCTCGGAGCTGCTGGTGGGTTTGAACCGCCTGCCCTTGGGGTGGCAGCATAACTCCTTACCACTACACCAGAAGAGCTCCCTACACTGTATATGTTGAGAGTTATTGAGAATATATACAAAAAAACATACACTGATTCAACCATTTCTTCATGTATATTTACTCATTGACTAAACTGTTGTTTTAATTTTAAGAAGACTACAGGGTAGAGTTTTGGCTTAAGATTTAAAGATGATCTCAGGACAATAGTTTTGGGGATTCATAAGCTTCCATGGCTCCACAAAAATCTGGGTTCCATGTTGTTGTTGTTATGTGCTGTCGAGTCGCTTGTGACTCATAGCGACCCTATGTACAACAGCCCTAAACTCTGCTCTGTCCTGTGCCAATCGCACTGTCTCTGACACTCCCATCCCAATTACCCCAGTCACTGAATCAATCCACCTCATAGAGGGCCTTCCTCTCCTGCGCCGTCCCTCCACCCTCCCAAGCATGATGTCCCTCTCTAAGGACCTGTCCCTCCTTACAACATGTCCAAAGTAAGTTAGACGGAGCCTCAGAATCCTTGCCTCCAAGGAGCCGTCCGGTTTAACCCTTTCCAGGATGAATCTGTTTGTTTTCCTAGCAGTATTCTCAATACTCTTCTGCAGCACCACAGCTCAAAGGCAACAATTCTCGTTCTATCCTCCCTGGTCATTGTTCAACTCTCTGATGCATAACAAGTGATTGCGAAGACCATGGCCTGTATCAGACGCACCTTCATCTCCAGAGAGACACCATTGCTCTTCATGGGTTCCATGAAATTTTGAAATTTGAATATCTCCCCTTTTGATTAGGATTCCTCTATAAAATTGCTGATCAAAGTGTTGGATAATCTTGGGCTTCTGGCTTTTTGAAAAATGTGTGATTTTTTTTGCTCAATCTCAAGATGAAAGAGCATGATCATGACTGGAAACCACTCTTTTGGTCCAGCGCTTCCATTTAACAGATGAGAAGAACGAGGCCAAAAGAGGAGAAAAGGCTACAGCCAAAGTCACGTAAGATTTCAGACATGAATCCTGGCCTACTGGTTCTACTTACTGTCAGGGCTTTGCCTCTTCTCGCTCCAAAGCCTCCTCTTCCCTCAGTTAACCCCAATTATATCCGTCTGTACTGAGCCTTCCCAGGTGACACAGATGGTTTGCAACTGAATACTAAGGAAAAGTTGTCAGTTTAAACCCACTCAGAAGTCCCGTGGAAGAAAGGCCTGGCAATCAGCATCTGTAAAGATTCCAAAACCAAAAACACCGAACTTACTGTCAGCAAGAATTCAATTGCAACTGACAGTAACCCCACCAGACAGGACAGAGCTGCCTCGTGGGTTTTCAGAGACTGTTCATCTTTCCTGAGGCAGAGTCCTTCTCTTTCATCCATGGAATGGCAGGTAGATTAGAAATGCCAACCAATTCGGTTGGTTAGCAACAGAATGCCTTAACCACAGCACCACTAGAGCCCCTCTGTGATGACCACAGCGTGGGGAAACCCGTGGAGCTCAGTTCTCTCTGTAACAGCTGAGGCCGCCGTGAGATAGAATCACTGGAGCCAATGGGTTCGATTTTCCCCTTCTTTGCACTTTTCCCCAGCGGAAGGCTAGAGGCAGAGGAGGGTGGGCAGGAGCCAGCTTCAGCCAGCACAGGGGTAAAGAGGCCCATCCCACCAAACTGCAGGGCTGACCCTCCTCCCTGCGCCTTTTCCCAGACTCTTCTCCCAAGCAGGAGTACTACCAAGTCGGACTACCTCCCGTTGACCCACCCTCGTGTAAGCTGGGGCTGCGTCGGGACGGGGTGCTGCTCAGGGCCTGGGTGGCCCCATGGACTGGCGGTCCTCGGGGGCCAGAACATTGCAGTGGGGGCAGCCAGGGTGGTGGGGGTGTCACCCACTGGCGCTGGCAGCCTCCTTGCCTCCCCAGGGAGATGAGTTCCTGCCCTCACTGACCAGAGGCTCCGAGAGGGAGACGGGCTTCAGCCGGATGAACGAGAGGATCCTGAACCCCAGAGTGAGTGGACGTGGAGGACCTCCTCGGAGAGGGGAGCAGTCGGAGTGGGAACGTCAGGGAGGCTCCTCTGCCGAAGGATGGACAGTTAGGCTATTTGGAGATAGAGGAGGAGGAGGGCGAAAGGCTGAGGGCTGAGAAGTGAGAAGCCTGTTCTGAAATAGTGAGCCGGGCTGCTAATCCAAAGGTGAGTGGTTTGAATTCACCCAGAGGCACCTGGGAAGAAAGGCCTGGCGCTCCAAAAGACCAACCATTGAGAACCCCATGGTACCCCATGGGTTCCTCTGACACACGTCAGGTCACCATGAATTGAAATCAACTCTGTGTCAACAGCTATGACTTGGCTGGGAGAATGGGACTGGGTAGAGGGGGTGTCTACTCCCCATTCCCCCACACTTCTGGCCCCACCCTGGCCACTCCGGTCACCTTCTTGTGATCTGTCCCCTGCAGCCCCCCCCTCCCGGCCCAGAGCTCAGCAGCATGAACCACGGGCAATTCCAGTCACCCCGGCAGATGCAGCAGACAAACGTCGCCATGCTTGGCCGGGAGACAGTGGGGAACAAGGTACTGTCTGGGGTGCGCAACCTCTACCCTAACCCCTCCGCCCTCCCAGCTGACAATCCCCTCCATCTCTCCTCTGCAGGAGCCTACGGGGTTCAGCCTCAACAACCCCATCTATGTCCAGAGACCCCATGACCCCGACATTTACAATCGGTACCTCACCACGTACAACCAAAAGTGAGTCCCTGCCCATCCACACCTGGGGTTGTGAGTCAATGTACCACAGACGGGAGGCTGGGGCAGGGCCAGGAAGAGATGGGTGCGCAGCCAGACGGCCTTGGCGTGGGCTCCTCCTGATGCCGACCCTGAGCCGTGGCTTCAAGGGTCAGCAGATTACTGGGGACACAGGGGTACGAGGAAGTGGAGAAGGGAGAGGAAGGCGGCCAGCTAGGAGCCCTGGTGATGTGGTAGATTAAATGCCAGAAGAGAGGTTGGCAGTTCAAGTCTGCCAGCCGCTCCATTGGGGAAGCACGAGGTCGTCTCCTTTCTGCTAAGATTTACAGCCTCTGGAAGCCAGTGGAGGGTCAGTCATGAGTCAGAACGGACTTGGCATCACAATAGTGGGTTTTAGTAAACTACACAGAACACAGTGCAAAACACACATCTCAGGACTGTTCACGCCAAGACACCCACAGCCCTTATCAGGGTCAATCCCAGGATAGAGAGGAACATTAAATCCCAGGTACTGCCTTGCTCACCAGCTCCACGTTCAAGGTGAACAGCCCATCTCTTACCTTCTCACTCTTCTCTCCCCATCCCTGCTCTCAGGGGGTGCTGTTGTGAGTCCTGGAGTTTCCTCCTATTCATAGTGACCCTATGAAACCACCCACAGGGATTTGTAATTTTTCTAAAAACAATATTTTATTGTGTTTTTGATAGAGGTTTACAAAGCAGCTTAGATTTCCCCTCAACAATTACTTGGTGTTATTGGCAACATTCTTCACAGTGCATAGACAACTCCACTATTTCCATTCTGGTGTTTTGTTTCCATTAATCTGGTTTCCCTGCCCCTTATCTTCTCATCTCTCTTTTTAAGTTACTGTTGGCCATTTGGTCTCATATGAGTGGCTATTAAAAGGAGCCCAGTGCTGATGGATGATATTCTGTATTTTGTGAGTCAATCTGTTATTTCATTAAAAGTTTTCTTTCAAGGTTTAAAGACTATCTCAGGGCAATGGGCTTGGGGAGTCTTCCAGCCTCAACTTGTCCAGCAAGTTGGGATTTTTTTTTAAAGAATTTGAGGTTCTGCCTCACAGCTCCCCGGGCCCCATCCTGGACCCCTCTGCTGTGGCCTTGACCAGCACAGTGAGTAAGTGTTAGCTGGCCACTGTCTAGGCCCTCTGGTCTCCGGGTAAATGAGGCTACAGTTCCTATAGGCTCCTAGCTTTGCAGACCCATTTCTCCTGTGAGACTTTGTTTGCCTCTTTCTCTTTCTGTAGAAAGATAGTGCCCACCTACCACGACCTGATGTTCTCTGTCCCAGAGACCCTCATAGATTTCATTCATTCAGCAAATTGTAACTTAGCACCAACTAGGTGTCATGCACTGTTGTTGGCACTAGACTGCGGCTACTTCCTCGGCCTGGCGGCGGGAATCTCAATAAGCTTGTTGTCACTGGGTCAATTCCCACTCACAGTCACCTGTAGGACAGACTGGAGCTGCCTGTAGGCTGCCAGGCAGTAAATGTCTATGGGGACAGACTGGCTCATCTTTCTCCAGTCTTTGGGGAAGCAGCTTAACCACTGAGCCACCAGGGCTCCTAGGGTGAGAGGCAGTGAGGGTCCCCGAAGGGCATGGTCATGTGTGCACGTGACACCCCTCCTGAGGGGGAGGACAGAGGTGGAGAGGCTGGTCAGGAGCCCACAGTTAGGAGATAACCCAATGGAGATGCATTTAGCAGGTGGGGGTCTCAGGGTGGTGGGTGGACGATGTGGGGACTGGGTGACCATGAGACTGAGCCTCTCTGTCCCACCCCCGTGGCACCATGTGCCCACATCCCTCTCCACTCCAGTTACTTCGAGAACATTCCCAAGGGTCTAGACCGGGAAGGCTGGACTCGGGGAGGCATCCAGCCGCAGAAGCCGGGAGGCTACGCCCTTAACCAGCCTGTCACCCGCATGGAGCCCACCCCCAACGCCACAGAGAGCCTGCGGCACCTGCATCCCCATGTGGGAAGGTAGCACCCCAATTCTTTCCCCCATCTCAATTCCAGCTCGAGTCTTTGCTGCTTCCAGGTGCTCCTCCAAGCTGTCCCCGGCCTCTCTTCCCTCCTCTGTCTGTCTGTCTGTCTCCTCTCTCAGAGTCTATCCATTGCTTATCTTCCCTTCTCTGCCCCCTCCTTCAAAACTCCCCTCTGTGGAGGGGCACTTAGAGGTGAATGGGCTGCGATCCTGCTTGGCCCCCTGTCTCTGGGCCTGGCTGGTGGTAAGGCTCCCCTCTGTGGAGGGGCACCCAGAGATGAACGGGCTGCGATCCTGCTTGGCCCCCTGTCTTTGGGCCTGGCTGTTGGTAAGGCTCCCCTCTGTGGAGGGGCGCTTAGAGGTGAGTGGGCTGCGATCCTGCTTGGCCCCTGTCTCTGGGCCTGGCTGTTGGTAAGGCTCCCCTCTGTGGAGGGGCACCCAGAGATGAACGGGCTGCGGTTCCACCGCACTTATGACTCCTCTCTGCTCCATCCAATTCCACAAAATTTCTATTTGTACAACAACAGCCCAGAGTTGGCAGGCAGGCTCGGTGCGGCTTGGCCGCTGGCCCCACACGCACAGGGGGAGAGAGAGAGAGAAGGCACAGATCCCAGCTCATCCATGCTGCCTCCCTCCCTGCAGAACCCTGACCTACGCAGACCCCTTCTACCGCGACACCCCGCACAGCAGCCGCTTCACGGTGCCCAGCTGAGCAGAGTAAGGGCCTGGCATCCTCTCCAGCAGCTGCTCCCACTGTGGGGTGGCCACTGGGCCAGCCCCAACTTCTAAGCCCTGGATCAAGTCGGGGGGTGGAAGGATGGGTGCGCAGAACCACCTGAGCCACTCACGCCTCATCTCCGTCTCCCACAGATTTGTCACCCCAACAGGACAGGAGCCAGTTGCAGTCCCCCCTCCCCAGCTTCTTCCTAATGAAATAAAGAGCAGCAAAGAGTGGGTGTCAGTCACTGTGAGGGGACCTGAGGGTGGGGTCACTGTGAGGAGGTAAAGGTGGGGTCACTGTGAGGGGTGTGGGAGGACATGAGGGTGAGGTCATTGTGAGGGGACATGAGGAGGGGGTCTCTATGAGGGGTACAGAGACATGAAGGTGGGTGTTAGGGGGTGGGGGGACCAACACTTCTGACTCACTGTGGGATTGCAGACAAAGCCCTGGAGGCCCCGTTTCCTCTTCCGTATCAGGGTCTTCCTGAAGCCTGTCCTGTGTGAGAAGGCCTGTTGGGGTGGGTGAGGGGGCACCCCAAGGACACAGTGTGGACGGAGGCATGACTGGAGGAACAGAGGCATGGAGGGTCAAGCCTTACTTTGTCCCCAGCCTCAGTGGTCTGGTCTGGATAAGGGGTGCATAAACATAGTCAGGGTGAAGGAAGAACCCGGAACCTTCCTGGGCCGTGTTAGATGGCTTAAGGTGAGGGCCAGACACTGGAGCTGGCATCTGTCTGTCTCCAGAGAGGGACGAGGGAGCATCTGTGATGACACTTGGACGGCTGAACACCAGGCAGAACAGAGACCGGACCCCCACCAGCACGGCCGGCAAGGTGGCTGAATGCTCATGAACATTAAAGTCAGACACCAGCCTCCCAGGTGGACACCGTGTGAGCAGTCTAGGCATTAATGGATCGTGGAGAGAAAAAGGAATGGTAGGTTAAGCATTGGACTGGCAACCAAAGGTTGGTGGTTCAAACCCACCAGTCATTCTTCGGGAGAAAGATGCGTCAGTCGGCTTCTGGAAGGATGAGCACAGAGGAAACCCTTAGGCAGTTCTGTGTCAGTGAGACGCAATCACATCCACAGCAGTGGCCTTGGGCTTCAGGTGTCCCAGGCACAGAGCTAGATCCAGCGTATTTTGTCCCTGTAGCCAGGTGCATTTGTACAACACACATATAATGACACAACTGTGTGGCAGCCCTATTCTGTACACTGTTGTTTGGTGACATCGAGTCGAGTACAGCCCTTAGTGACCCTACGAACAACAGATCTGAACCCTGTCCTATCCTGCGCTATCCTCACACTCCCTGACACATTAGAGCCCATTGTGGTGTCAGTCCACCTACCTGGCTGAGGGTCTTCCTCTCCTTCACTGACCCTCTGTCTTTCCAAGCTCACATCCCTCCAAGTAATAGCTCCTCCTAGCTACATGCCCAAAGTATATGAAGCAAAGCTTTATCGTCTTTGCCTCCAAAGAGCACTCTGGCTGCACCTTCTCCAAGACACTTTTGTTTTTTTTGACAGTCCATAGGATTGTCCAGAACTCTTCCACAACACCACAGCTTAAAGGCATCAGTAATTCTTCTGTTGTCCTTATTCATCAACCTACCTTCCAGATGCTGAGGGCAGGGTGTTGAATGACCCAGGAAGCATCAAAAGAGGATGGAAGGAAGGAGTACACAGAGTCACTATACCAAAAAGAATTGCTGACCCAGAAGAATTCATGATACAACGTATGACCAAGAGGCAATGGTGACGAAGGAGGAAGTTCAAGCTGCTCTGAGGGAATTGGCAAAAAACAAGGCCCCCAGGAATTGATGGGATACCAATTAACATATTTCAGCAAGCAAATGCTGCCCTGGATGTACCCACCAGGTTATACCAAGAAATCTGGAGAACAACTACCTGGCAAACTGACTAGAAGAGATCTATATTTATTCCCATTGAAAATAAAATGACTTGTGAGACTATGGGAATTATCGAACAATATCATATGCAAGCAAGATCCTGCAGAAGATGATAAAAAACCGACTAGAACAGTACATCAGCAAAGGGCTACCAGATGTGCAAGCTGGGTTTCAAAGAGGCCGTGGCACTAGGCACATGATAGCCAACATTTGATGGATCTTGGCAGAAAGCAGAGTACCAGAGGAATGTCTGCCTGTGTTTCATTGACTATACAAAGGTATTTGACTGTGTGGATCACAACAAATTATAGTTAATCTTGAGAAGAATCAGAATTCCAGAACACTTACTTATGCTCGCATGAAACCTATACTTCGTCTAGGTAGCAGTGGTCAGAACAGGGAAACACTGCATGGTTCAGGATCAGGAAAGATGTGTGTCAGGGATGCATCCTGTCTCCACATCCTTTCAATCTATATGCAGAACAGATCATTCGGGAGGCTGGAATTTATGGATTGGAGGAAGACTCAACAACCTGTGTTACGCAGATGATGCTCCCTTGATGCTGAAACTGAAGAGGACGAGAACTGTAGTCTTCAATATGAGGCTCAACATCAAGAAAACAGATTCTCTATGAAAAACAAAATATTCGAATTTTGTAAATAAACTAGCATTAAAAAAAGAAAACATTCTTACCACTGGTCCAATTGGCAATGACATACAGAGAAGAGATCGAGATTGTTAACAGCTTCAGCTTGCTTAGTTCCACAATCAACACTCCTGGCATCAACAGTTAGGAAATCAAAAGATGAATTGCACTTGGAAAGTCTGCTGTCAGGCACCTCTCCAGAGCACTGAAGAGCAACAATGTTAGTCTGGGGACTAAGGTGCACCTGATACAGGCCATGCCATGGTCTTAACAATTACTTGATATGCATCAGAGAGCTACACAGTGACTAAAGATGATAGAAAAAGGATCAATGCCTTTGAGTTGTGGTTCTGGAGAAGAGTGTTGAACCCTGTGGATGGCCAGGCGAACAAACAGATCTATCCTACAGAAGGTTAAATCAAGCTGCTCTCTAGAGGCTAGGATTTTGAAGCGCTATCTCACATACTTTAGACACATGGCCAGGAGAGACCAGTCCTTGGAGAAGGACTGCCTTCTTGGAAGGATGGAGGAACAGCACAGAAGGGAAAGACCCAGGATGAGATGGATTGACTCTGTGACTGGAGAAATGGGATTAGGTTTGTTGGAGATGATGAGATTGGCTCAGGACAGGGCAGGGTTCAGAGCTATTGTACACAGGGTTGCTATGAGTTGCAGCGACTCGACAGCACATAACAACAATGGCACCTTCTAGAATCCAACTGCTTCAAACAAAAGTTCTGTAAACTAGTGCTCTGATTTATAAACACGGAACAGTGGTGCCCAAGAGGGTGCCCCAGCTGCCCGAAGTCACAGAGTGGACAGACGGCAGCAATAGCTGCCCAAGAAAAGGGGGACTGTCCTTTGAACTGGGCAGTCAGTCCATCACCAGAGGGCAGACTCTGCGGTGGCACCCCACTCCCCAGTCTCCACCCCTGCACACCTGCTCCAAACCATGCTAATGCCACTCACCCCAGGTGCATGGGAAGAATGCACAAGGGAGCCGGAGGAAGCGCTGATGCCTTTGAGCTGTGGTGAGAGAGGGATAGTGGACACGCCACGGACCGCCACAAGAGCAAACAAGGCTTAGTTCTCATACGCTTTGGGCTTGTGTCAGGAGGGTCCGGTCTCTGGAGCAGGACACCATGCTTGGAAAAGTCGAGGGTCAGAGAAGAAGACCCTCAGTGAGGTGACAGGTTGGAGACGGTAACAATGGGCTTGCACGAAGCAGAGGTCGGAGAGGGTGGCACGGGGCCGAGTGGTTCTGTTCTGTTGGATATAAAAGTGAATCTGAGCCGGCTCAATGGCACCTAACAACCACAACCACAGCAGGGAGCAGCCCTGGGGGCCAGGCTGTACCCCAGTCTGGGGCGGCAGTCCAGGGAACTGTCCACAGGCTGGTTGGGGCTCCATGTGGAATGTGGGCGACTCCAGCTGGTTCTAGCAGTGGGGGCGGGGGTGGGGGACACAGTGTCTCTCGACTGTAAACCCAGCTAGGCTTGGGACGCAGTGGCACCCCCACTCTTGGAACCCCACAAAGTCAACATTAGGGGTTTAGGGCTGAATCATGAGATCGGGTGTGTCATTTGGGCTAGACCCTACTGTCACCTGGGCACAGTGCCAAGGGACACACACCCCAGCACATAGACACGCACACACACAGAGCACAAAAGACACAAATGCAAATTTAAAAAACCACACAGTATGTTAAGACATTCTCATATGCACACGCAGTCATGCGTGCCAACAGGCAGGGCCACACAGAGCCACCACCACAGCCCTGGCAGCCGGAAAGCACAAAACATGCACCCAGTCGGCTCTTCACACACCCAGGAGAGTACAGACAGGCCAACACGCACAGCCGGGTACCCTCCTGCACAGATGTATGGAGGCTTGCTTACATGAGAGATGTGGGGGGCCCACCCCGCCCCACTTCATCTCCATTTCCCTCTGTCACTGTGAGTGTCCTTTTACAACTTGAGTTCCCTTGTCACCAGCCTCCACGGGGATCTGGTGTCAGGCCACCAGAGTGGGTGACACTCTCTTTCCAGCACCTCCCCTCTCCATGGTCCTCAACCTGGTTTCCAGGGCACGTGACTTGCCACCTCTCCTCTGTGGGTGATTCTTGAGCTGGAGCTGTGGACCTCACTCCAGAGGTGCCCCTGAGCCCCCTGCCTTCTTCCCTGCTGCACCCAGGCAGGCTGCCAACAGGCTGACCTGGTGCTGTGGTGCCAGGAACGTGAAGGACAGAGGCTGAGTCCACGTGGTCCTGGAGCCTCCTTAATCAGATGCCGACTCCCCCCATCATAGAGACGGGCGTTAGAAAGGTCTGTCTTAGGTTACACCGTCAGTGAGGGTGGAGTGGGCATTCTGAGTGCCAGGAACCTGGTGGGGCATCAGCTGATGCCAAAGCATCCTAACCTCCTGATCACTGGCCC